AGCAGAGGCGATTAAGCCGTGTTTGCGCGTACCCTGACGGCCTGGGCGCATTTTACACCCCCCCAGCAGGGCGCTGCAGCCGTGGGGCCGGCATGAAGGCTCCTGCCGCCACTGCGCAAGGGGGAGGGCAGGCAAGAAACCCTGACACTGGTCCTCCCAACAGCGTTCTCTGGAGATGGAGCTAGGCTTTATTTATTTTTTAAGAAAATAATGCCCTAATAGAGCTGTCTCCCTAAATCACAAAACCAACTAGAAGAAAAGGAATGAGGAATTTTTATCTGTAATGGAGGCATTTCCAAATTCAAACCTCCATTTCCAGAAGAGCAGAAGGACACAGTATCACTCTCTCCTGCAGCACCCACCATCATCTCAGTAACCACATCACCACGGCAGAGATGGTTAACCCTTACAGGGTTAACTTACAGGGAGAGACAAGGGATGAAGGAAAGGGATAGCATTTCCTTTTTAAGAAACATTGTGTTAGTAAACTTCATATAAAGTAGTAAACTAAGCCATAATAAATAGGAAGCATGTGGTAACAACTCCCATGACAGGGATAAACAAGAGAGTTCATATAAAGTGTTGAGATGTTCCAATAAAAATAAATTTAATTTTACAATATATACAGATAAAATCTTTTCTGAAGGAAACTTTTTAAAATACTTTCTTTAAGGCACCTAGGGGAAAGAAAAAAAAAAAGAGAGCGAGAAAACAATAAGACAATATGCATTAAGATTTGAAACTTGCCAAACAACTGTGACAACAGAAAAATGCAATGCTATGATTTAAAGGATTTGACTGCAAACAACGCTGGCTTCCCTTCTGGCCTCCCTAAGTCCTTCTTCAGATAAACTGGTGCTCAACATGGGGCATGACCAGGCTCTGACAAACTGCTCCATTAACACCAGCTGTCAGTAGATTAAAAAAGAATAAAGTACAAAAACTGTGATTCTTCACAGCATTGCAGAGTGTAACGTTCCAAAAATAAACTTAAGTATAGCACTTAACTGACCATGAAACGGAAAAATAAAGGTTTTCAATTAATTACTGCATAGCAGACTAGATTATATGTTGTTCCCTGAACAGATCAAGAATATCGAAGTGTTCCAGATGTTACATAGTTGCCCTATTTATTGTTTTTCTCCAAGTCACAGAATTTCCCTGCAGTTCTTCCACATGCCAAAGTAACTCACACACTGTACCCTTATTTAGTTTGATTTATTAAAAGGACTTACCTGAAGAATTAAGCTATCTCCATGTCTTCTTCATTTCCATGAGGAGGGCTAATCATGGGTTCTGTTATTCCATACGCGTCTATCATCTCCTGGTTAGAAATGACAAGAGTACGGAAGTTACGAGAGCTGAAGGACTTCAATTTAATTGCAGTTACCACCTAGCACATAATAAAAGTTTCTCGTACTAGAGCGCTATTTCAAATTACTACATTTCTTCTGCACGTTCTGAGTGAGGGCCCAAGGATAAGTTGCATGTGCTGAAACCTACTTTTTGTCTTAAGACTTTTTCCGAACAGCAGTGAGGAACTGTGTGGAGAACTTCCCCTCTAGAAGGCAAGTATCACATATGAGAGAAGAAACAGACTCCATATTTATGCAGTCCTCATGTAAAACAGTAAAGGCAAGTCCCTGCACAGCTTAGAAGCACTTAAACTGACCAGGCTGTCAGGAGCAAAAAGGAAATTGCTATCCCAACTCTCTGGTTTTTTGCAGTTAAAAGCATTCAGTAGATCTGCGATTGTTTTGGAATCTGTAAAATCAAATGTAGTGATAATAGACAGAGGAACACCTATCCTTATCAGAGGACACGGCAGCACTGCTTTGGGGTGCATTCTTACTTAAGAAAAATAAAAATAATCACAAGTATCAAGCACTGCCTATGATACCTTCCACTCCTGATGGCTCAGAGATAGGACAAGCTGGTTCCGTGCTCCAGCACCACGGTCGTCCTTCCTTCTCTCGTCGTCTTTTGAAGGCTCTGTTCAAAATACAGTATTTTCTTTGTCTTTACTTGCAAAGTCAGTTTTCTCCATGAACACAACGCTTCACAAAAAGCAAATCAATTATACCTGCTCCACTAAGCTCAGCTCTATTGCCCGTACCACCTACTTAAATAATTTCTTTAGTCTTACCTCCTAAAAATTTATACACTAACACTTCTCAGAGTCCAGAAGGACCGAAGTGTTTCATCCTTTATAAAATGCCACCAAAGTCTTAATCCCATTGATAGCCTGTGGGAATGAAAGCCAAAGACCTCATACATAGGACAGCATTTCCTTTTCAACTGTTTGGAAGTTACAGCGCTCCCCAGCTCGGACAAAGGCTTCTTGCACTTCTTTTCACCCTTCGGTTCCTCTCTTCATGCCTTCACTTACACTCACTCTATGTGTATATATATATATATACACACACACACATATATATATATACACACACACACACCCCCAAATATAATATAATGTATATTATACACCCAAATAGAATATACCCAAATCTCTAGTCTCACAGCTAAAAATTTACCCAACACACCTCTGTGAGTACATAACATTTAGCTACTTTTCAATGTAGTAGGGAAGAAAAAAAAAAAGGTTATAGTGTTTTAAAGCTAGATTTACCTATTACTGGCAATTCATTTTCATCCAGCTTTAATCTTGCAAAACCATCCTAAAAGCAAGGAGGATGTAAAGTTTCAGAAATTAGAGCTAATTAGGAGAATGCACTGAGATTTCATATTTTCAATTAATATATTACATAATCATAAACAGGTACATATATTGATAGAGAATCTTAATTGGCATACCAAATGAGAAAAATCATTTAACTATAGCACTTATTAATAAAGCATGCAACTGATATAGAACAGTTGGTAACTGCTGGATTATAAAAAAAATTAAAAATCCTTATTATTCATTAAATACACTTGAATTGACCCTTCATAATCACATCACTAGTCACTAAAGACCTGAAGTTAGTCAAAACACATTTGTAAATTTTTCTCTTTTCCCAAATTCATTTTATTTATTCGACAAACTAAATAAGAGTTTAGAGTGCAAATCAACATATTCAAAAAGAACATAAACCACTGCATTGACATACTTTCCTATGATCTCAATAACTCTTCTATAATCTAAAATAATGTGAGCTGGAATCCTTTTCTGAAACGTGTTGACTAATGTTTTTCCATTGTTTTGCTGGTAAATTCACCATAGTAGAAAAGTCTAATTAAAAAAATTAGTCTGTCAATGTTTCTGTTTTTTATTCAACGACCAAAATATCATAGATTATGTAGAAAACAAATTAGGATTCCTAATATTTAAATCCTAATCTGTCAATATTGAAGCCACAAAACCAAAAAATCAGGTTTTCTAGGTAATACCATGATCCAAAATAAATTTTCAAGGACATGTCACACCTTACCCTTATAAGGAAGGACACGTGAAAGATGTTTTCCACTGTGCGTGCAAAAGAGTTTGGATCAATCACAAACTCAAAGAAGGAAATGGGTGTTTCAGCTGGAGATGCAAAAAGAGGTTTGTTAGAACAAAACAAACCACAGACAGGTGATGTACATAGAAATAATACCCGTAAACACAAACTTTAAAAAGTCAATGCTCCTTTTCAAAGCCAACTAAACATTGATGTCAATTCAGTTACAGTGCTGAATCCCCAGCTGCCTGCAGAAAGAAACAAAGTTTCTGGAGATGAGTATTTTCTTCATCTTTTGCCACAGGCATACATCCCCCCCAACTATCTGACTGCCTTCTATAAAAAATGGCATCCTCTAGTAAAAGGCAGAGGGTAGAGTTGTAAGTGACTCCGCAGCTGATGAGTGTTCCTACCAAAAAATCCATACTCGGGATATATCCTTCAACATAACGATTTCTACCTGCAAACTCCAGCTCATTTTGTTTCTCTACTTTAACCACTCTTAACTGCAGGAGATTGGGAGGATTCGTTTTTTCAAAATAATGCTGTAAAAGCTTAATTGAATCATACTGACGGTCATTTGTAGAATGAGTTTGCAATAACGCCAAGATCCTCTCTACTTCTTTTTCTGTAGCTTCCTGAGGAGACTCCTCCATTTTCTTTAGCTGGAAAAAGAAACAGTTTCACCTCCAATAACCGCTGTTGATAGGAATATACTGTTGATATGAATAAGAAAAGGGCCTTTTACAAACATGTAACACAGAAGATAAATTTTTCTCTCCACACCCCCATGCACATTTAGACACACTTGTGTCAACATAAGACAACTCACAAAGTGCTTTAGGAATTAATTCCAGCCTCACCGTATCTAACTGAAAGGCCACAGTTTGTATGTTCTGAGATTCTGGACAGGTCTGTGCTTACTTTCCAACAGTTGTGTGGAACGGGGTTACCCATTTCCCAGAACAGTTTCTTGAGAAGCACAGAAAGGCAGTTCATTAGGATCTTCCATTTTCTTTCAGACAAGGCACCTAATTTACATGTAACAAAACACCCTAGCGTGAAGTTTGGCGTGATCAAAGGACACAATTATGGTGATTTTACGGATTTCTCCACTCTCTGTAAAGCACAGGACTCCATACTGTCCTTCAAGCACGGTAATCAGCAGACATCAGATTCTCTTTTCGCGTGCAGGCCTCAGCAACCTGCTTGCCGTTCCTGTTGGCGAACACTTTCCCTCTGACCACCTTTTAATAAAACAAGCGACAGGAACTTCCGGACGTAACGATACATCCAACGCAGGTGAACATGTGTGCTGAGCATCTGTGTTTCCCTGAGCAGAGCGCCAAGAGCAGTCACTTCTGGAAGCAACTCGCTCCAACTCTCCTGCTCCTCTTCTCTATCAGAATAATTTCTGTCACTGCTTGGATCAGCATGGAGTAGGCCATCTTTAAAGAGCCATACTCAGCATTTTGCCTCCGTGTAACTGGCATTACAACAGCATTTCTTTTTTTCAAGGTTTCAGATGTAAGCCTCTGTAAGGACAATGACTTTTGCCTTTGGGCCAAAGCAAGGCAGAAAGAACAGGGAAGCAAAAAGCAGGGAAAACAGCAGTCAGGTGAGCTCATTAGTTTGTTGTTGCTAATGCTATTTCTGTGCGAATGCCACACGCTGTTAGACACATTTTAAATACACAAGTTGAAAACGCGCTAATGTAAAGTTTCTTTCTGTTTCCTTTCAAAGCAACAAGTATCAGAGCAAATAAGCTCACTTGAACTGAAAGATCAGTGTGTAAATCCTATTCCTTCCACTCTGTGAAATACAGCAGCCCACGCAAAACAAATCCAGAAGCCTAACAATGAAGTTGGAATCCTTTAGTATTAGACAGTTCGCAGCTCTGAAACCCAGAACTACATGAACAAAGATTGAAAGGTCATTTGTAACAACTATGCCCCAACAAATCGTCAGAGAGAACACTGCACAAACCTGAGCAGGCATTGCCCGTTTCTCTTCTCCTCCTCGAGCCTTTTTCTGCCTCTCAATCCGTTGCCTTGTTACAGGAGGATCAGACTTGAAAGATCCCAACCTTTAGGAATAAAACCAGCATATATATGTAAATATGTTTGAAATTGTATGCAGAACAGCTGATGAACAGCTGATCTCCTGACAAAAGTGCAAAGTAATGACGAACCTCTGAACACGAAGCCTCGCCACATTTAGAAATTCCTGTAAGCAACCATCCCCAAAAGTTGCTTCCAGTGTCTGCTGGCAGCCTCGCACCAGAATTATCAACAGATTTATAAAACTTGATGCAATTATTACAACTTTTTTAACTGAAAACTGTAAATCTAAAAACTAGTTTAAAAAAATAATCTTAAAACTAGTTAAGAAAAGAAACGGAGTACATAGTTCATATCCTCCAATATCTCCCTTTGAGTTTATGGCCAACTTTTCTGCCTGAAAACTCCCTGCATACAAAACTTACCACTTTTTTAATACATTGTTTAGTTCCTGTAAGTTCAAGTTTGCAGTAAGCTTTTTTCCCTTAAAAAAAAAAAGCCACAGATTTTTAAAATATAGTCAATCAATAGAACATTCAGTACACTAAGAAGAGATTCAAAGTTTCTTGTAAAACAACGTGAGTGTAATATATACGGGCTAGATCGCGGCACTTTCTTGCAATGCTTACCTCTCCCCATTGACTAGATAAGGAACTCAGGCTCCTAACTTTGGCTGCCTTGAATCTCCACCGAGATAGATGGGTAAAGGAGAGAGTGTGAATCAAGACTCAATTCAAGGCAGTTAAGCAGGTACTCAAAAATTCTGCAGCATATACTTTCCCCCATCTCGGGTGAGTTGCAACTGCTCAATTTCAGAAGTCATGGACTAGCCATGAAAAAAACCCACAAAAACTCAGGCCTCGGATAATGATAGATGGAGTCAAAAATAAGTAGTTCTTTTACTAAACTAAGAACTACCCTTTATCGTTTAAAATTAACACTTTGCAAATATTCACACATCCTCCAACAGACGAAGCTCATCATGACTTAGGATGTCAAAATGCAATTAATGAGAAAAAAAAGTCTTTTTTGCAGTCAGTTTTAAGATTTAGATCTCAACATCGAATGGAAAATATACATATCGTTTAGAGCTTACAGCTCCAAAGTGCAAACATAAGTTTGAAACATCTCAATTAGCTACCCAACTTTTAATATCAGATAGCGTACGATCAAATTATTACCTTCCACAACTTTCTCACACTTAGGGTGATACTTACTGGGGGGTGAAATAAGGGAATAATATTCTATCAGCTCTGCTGTTGCTAATGTAATTGATCTAGATCTTGCTACCGTAGGCTGACTTTAGGAGAGATCTAACGTAGAGTGCTGTCTATAAGCCAGGTGACTAACGGGTTGGCTACACCTGAGGAGAGATGACACTGATTCTACATGAGGGTCACTTGCCAGTAATCAGGTGATTTCTTCTGAAGGGAGAGCCAGAAAACAAGATTCTAAAAGACAACCCGTTAACATAGACACAAAAGAACTGTTGGTCTCTTCATAAGAATACAGTCATCAGGTAAAATACATATACCCTGATGGACTGACCTTCCATAACTGCCCGGGAAAGAGAAAAGTTCCTCTATTCATGATTCTGGCTGCAGCTTGTACAGAGAGAGAAGAGTCAGCTTTTAAAGAAGATCCCTTCTACTGGTTTTGGTCTGGAACAGGCAAATCAAGAATACTTTGCTATCTCTACTAGATGCAAGTGATACTGTTTTGTAGCCAAGCCAAATCAAAATCAACGAGAGAAATATTACAAAATATTCTGGAGACAAGGAGTTCACTGCAGCGTAAGAACAGAGACCACATGGCAATTCTTGTTGACGCTCTCTGACCTGAGATTAAAGTCTCTTCAAGCCCAGGGCACTAAGGATAAGAATCCATTAAGGCCATTAGTTTGTGCTGCAGTTCATACTATTTCCTTAAAGAAACTTACATATAGTGAAAAGTAGGCGCTCTTCTGAAGTATTTCTCTGCTTCTTCTCCCAGTTTATGCCAGGCATTACTAGGTAAATAGCCACTTGAAACGCCCTCAGAATCACTATCCTTATCTTCTATTTCTATGCGATTTATGCCCATGAAGGTTAGCTACAAAAGGAAAAAAATTGCCATGAAAATTCACACATTAACACTGAAATATCGTACTACAGAGTTTGTCCTGAGAGATTAATATGTAATGTCACTGCATAAGAACCTTGACTTTCCTGAAGATACTGTAAAACACACACGTGTGTTGAGCGAGCATCAGCAAGCAATGAAAAAACCAAACAGCTACAGGCAAATAAAACTGCCTATATGCCAACAGCATTTTAATGATGTATGAAATAGCAAAGCATTACGTAAATCGCACTATAAAGCCAAGATGTCTCACAGTTTCTGAACACCACATGCTTCCAGGAAACCTAACTCCACAAACACAATAAAATAACTTACTTGGCCCAACCCTGCATCTACCACCAATCCAGACTTCCCCGGGAAAAACTTCAATAAAACAATTGAACTTGATGGGGTTTTATATTGCCGAGCTCTAGACTGACCAAAGACTCAGACTCCTTATTAATCTGCTGTAACATAAGAGAAAATTTTCAGGAAGGATGGGAAAAAAAAAAAAAGAAGTCTGCTTCAAAGCTATTCTGAACTGACTCTTTCACCCAGTCACAATACAAAGACACAAACGTGTCAAGTCTAAAAGCATGCAAGTAATCCAAAGTCCCATCTCACGCCAGGGACACAGGGCCTCAAGAACTCCATCTAAAAACTTATAAAGCAGTGGACAGGATAAAGAAACTGCTTAGCTACTGGGAAACTACGAAACAATGAGTATAAAAAAAGTGCACAGGACTACCTTAAGAGTATGAATTGACTGAACTGTGATAAAGTAGCAACAACGGGGAGGATGACCGCAATTTCAGTTAGATTTTCCCCAGTGCATACCGGAAATGTTTAAACATAGTTCAGAAAAAAAATAAAATTCAACAACACTAACCAGAAAGTTAACTGAAGAAATTCATAGGGAGAGTGTTAAATTCCATCAGAACTGACAACCTGAGGCTTTTGTTTTATGATTCTGTAACAAGTAGTGCAAGCCTCTGGCAAAATTGTTGACAAATTCAGAGTGTGGAACTTACCAAGTCGTCTGCAAATGCCAGGGAATCAAATGTTGTCATCTCAGAGCGCAACTCATTGGCCTTCTCCTTTCCCAGATTTGATGCTAAGACAAGAAATTGGGCATCCAGTGCAGCCTCTCGTGCACAGGAAACTGTTACGGAAAAGATCTTATGTTTTTCACGTGAAATTGTAAAAAATATATTTAAAATAAAATTCATAATAAAATTCAGCATACAGACTATCCGGGGCATAGAGCTCTGTAAATTATTTTATTGAAATGACTTCTAACACACTTACATACCCCTTATAATAATAGTGAAAAATATTTTAAAAAAGCAAATATAGAAGAGGCGAGGATGACACTGACAAAGGCAAGCACGGAAAATAACACGTTGTCTTAAAGATCAAAAATGCAGTTTTCATTGACATGTTTTCCACCTCTCCAAATGAAATGAACCCCTCTATACCAATATCTTTTACATGTACTACTTACATATACAGATCTACAGAGTCAAGACAAAGCAAGAAGCATTTTTAAGTGCAAATAAACACTAATGTAATTTATTTCCTCATATCAACTTATCCAAACAATTCCTCTTCGGCTAAACATATCTGTTTGAAGTTACATTTTAGCAACTTTGAAAAAGTCCTTGGGCCCCACCTACACGCTCTTCTTCTTCATTTATAAGGCATCATAGCCTCACACTTGGCCAACTGTCAAGCCAACACCTCTAATAAGGACAAGAGCATTTGTTTTACCTCCACTAAACAGTTTATTGGCTTCTTCCAAAGCTTCTGTCAGTCTGTTGCTCTTTGGACTCAGCATATCCTCACGATTTTCTGGAGGGAAGAGACACAAATGAAACCCTAAATTACTTAAATACAGAAGCATCAAGAAATACATACTGACACCTTAATCAAAGCTGGCTGGTTCATAGCCCATTATACACAAAAAAAAAAACAGGCTATACTTATAGTACATTCATTGCAAGATTGCGAAGGCTCCGTTTGTATTAATACTTACGTGTTAACTCAGTTTGAAGTAGTAATTTTCCATTTACTTCAATGGACTAAGATTTACAGAGTTGTAATTATGTTAGCAGAACACAGAATCAGAGAAGGGCTTAGGTTGGAAGGGACCTTAGAGATCATCTAATCCTGTCCCATGGGCAGGGACGCCTCTCAACTAGGTTACTCAAGGCCTCATCCAGCCTGGCCTCGAACATCTCCAGGGAGGGAGCATCCACAACTTCCCTGCACAATTTATTCCTGAGTTTTGCCATCCTCGTACTGAAGAATTTCTTCCTGGGATCTAGTCTAAACTTGTTCTACTTCAATTTAAAACCATTTCCCCTTAATCCAAGATTCCTCTTGGTTCTAGGAAAACCTCTGCATCTCTGTCAAAACAACTACTAGATACCACAGCTTTCAGTATGTTATTCGTGTTTCCCCTAAGTTATTTAGGATTTTCATGAAAGAAACAAACTCCCAAACATACAGGTTGACAATTTCCAAAGATCACTGTGTCACAGTTACACAGATGCAACAGTATACATGTGGTTTAAGGAGAGATTTTCAGGTCTGAGCAGCTACTCACAGCATTGCTTTTAAGGAATTAAACTATACCCAACACACTGCCGTATCGCTGTGGGTTTTGTGTATAAACGCTGGCGGGATCATCCTTAAACTCTTGGTAAACAAGCCTATGAATTTAGCAAGTATGCAGAAAACAGGCAACGCCACACGTTGCTAAATTCAGCAGTGCTTACTCGAACAAACCATTGTTAAGTTTTCCTGAGGAAAAACTGCACATCCCAAACCCCGCCAGCAGAATCACTGACACCAACCCGGAGAGCTGCTGAATGTGCCACAGCACTTTCTGGAAAAGCCAGCAACTTTTGGGTCCAGGCAGATACTGTTGTAATCAAACTTAAATTTTAAGGTGATAATTGCTTAATGAATAGCTAATCACCATTTGAATTAAATTAGTTCATTGATTTATATTAGGATAAGGAATATAAAGCCCTACTTATGCTAAGAAGTGATGTGTAGGCCTTGGCTAGAGCTAGAGCTGGTGCAAGTAGCGAAACTGGCAGGGAATGTTTCGTGCCTGCCTCCCTGTCCTATGTTTTGTGATAATGACACAGAAACATTACATAGAAACACCACAGAAACAAGAAATGCCATCTCCCCTTTACTTGTATGTCAGGAGTTGTGATCAACAGAAAAAAACAATTGTATTGAGAGAAGAATATTAATAAGGGTTAAACTAATCATTGTAAATGTCAAAATTAATAGCGGGCATAGTGTGCATGTTTATGTCAAACTATGTTAAGGATCATGACTTTGCACAAAAAGCGTGCAAACAGGCTGAATTTCCGTGACATACCCGAAGCACTGGGTGACCCCCAAGCTTCCCAGCGCTGCAATACCGACGTGCCTGCTTACCTACGGGCAGATAAGGTTTTGCGACCTTTCCCTTTGAAAACCGCAACAATGCCGGGGCCCTCAGTTTCAAATTAAAGCCCAAACATCATATGAAGGCCAAATTAAAGGCTTTACAGGTCCAAAACTGACATTTGCAATCACAAGCCCTACGGGCGGGTAAATCCCTGACAACCCCGCGATCCCCGGCCGTGCAAATGCCTCCGGGCAGGCAAATCGCGGTCCCAAATCTCAGCAGGACGAGGATCTCGGGGAATCCCCGCGACAGCTTAAAGAGCCGCACAAAAGACAACGTCAAGCCACCTGAGCGA